CCCATTCGGAGGCCAAGGGGAATGGGAAAGAATCGCCTCGTAGGGCTACCCAACACCCCACTGTGCCGACCCTGCGGAAAACAGTTACAGACAGGATGAGAACCGAGAAGGCTTTTAAGTGGAGATGATTAATTCAGGCTAAAGAAAAGGGATCACCTAAATTTAATAAGGGACGCCAGAAACTCCCTGAGAGGAAATCCTACAGTCCTTACATCCCTCTGCAGGACTAGAGCAAGAAGAGCTCGCTGCTGTGGAAGGATTTGATTTCGCCGGTTGTGATGAGGGTGGAGGGGAGCCCACCGGGTGTTTTAGTAAGCACTGCCCTGCAAATACCTCCCTGGACTGCCACCGAGATGATAAAGCCCCAGGTTTGTCTGGAGGGAAGTTTTTCATTGGGAGTGTTTGGCAGACTGTTCTCTAGTCCCCTCCTTGTCTGAGATGAAGTTTCCTTTCAGCTGGAGGAGACACTTGCTCGCAAATTGCTCTGACATGAGACACGTCCCACCCTGGGAACCCTACTGCAGCGCACACCGCGGAGCAGAGCCTGTCTAACACCAGGCTTCGTGCGCGGCTTGTGCCAAATCCCGTATCTGAAAACACAGTATGTTTCCTTTCTCTCATTGCAGTCGCACTTGTTGTTGTTAAACATTCTCTAGGCATCACATAGGGCCAAAATCCGAGAGGCGCCCAGCACCTGCAAACACCACTGACGTCAGACACACATGCAGGTGCCGGGTGCATCTCCCGGCCCCGCGGGGGAAAGGGCTGCGAAGCACCAGAGCCGGCACTGGGAACGGAGTTTGGAGGTTGTTCTCAAAGTGCCTGTCAGCGGGCTGCAGCCTGGGTTTGTCTAGTAGCGCTTTCTCCGGCCAAGGCAAATGCAAAGGTATTTTATGCAAACTAAAGGGAGTATTCAAAAGCAGTGCTTGTCTGTGTTCTTTTCCAGCACTCAAAATAACGCCACGGTTTGTGAGAAATTGCAGAATGGTGTCGATTGCATTTTATTGATGTTGCTAAATCTGGTCATAGCCCCTGCCTGCATTTTCATGCGTCCACACAAGCTCACCAGCAGTTGAGCTCTGACAACATTTTAGTTCGGGCCTTTTCCAGCTGCAATCTCCTCTCACAGGGGAGCTGGAAGCTTCATCAGGACAAACTGGGCTGGAGACATGGGGCTTGGCTGGACCAACGCTGAGCAAATGGAGCCGGCCCGTCGGCGCTGGAGGGAGGGAGGATGGAGAACAGACCTCCAAGCTTGTCTCCGAGCTGTGTCCTCCCCGGAGCATGTTAGCTCCCAGGCACCCGGCCAAAGCCGGACTGTAAGGCCAAGCTCTACGTGGATGAGTTATTTGCCAGGTAAAGTTGATGGGAACCTGAATCTGTGAAAAGCTCTGCTGGCCGGGCTCCTTCTGCAGGAGCAGGTCCCTGGAGAACATCTCCTCGGGCCAGGCCCTGTCCTCTCTGTGTCCGGTGTCCGGGCTCTTGCAGGCAGTAAGAAGTGATAAAGAAAAATTAGATCTGGCTGGCGAAAAACGTTCCCGTGGGAAATTTTGACTTTTTGTCAGAAACTCCAGCGTGTTTCTTTTTCAGCCCCAAATAAGCATGAATAGGAACAAAGATTCGGTTTTGGCAGGGGGAATGGGCTTACCAAAGAAAACACCCAAATTTTTAAGCAAAGCAGACACATTCTATCATTTTTCTCCCTGGTTGAAAAAAACAATTTTCCAGAAAAAAGAGCAAATTCAGTGAAAAAATTGTAATTGGTTCTAACACCGCTGCCTCGGGCAAATTCAGCTAATTTTGGCTAATTCACCTGCCCCCTCACCACTGCTGCTCGGGAGGGTCTGGCCTCCTCTGACTTCCCTCTCAAGCGGTTGAAGATCCCTCCAGCGTGCAGCCGGCAACATCACCACCAACTCACCGCTCATCCCCTGCCTCTGCCCGGCGAAGGCTGGGTCCATAGCCCTCGGGTGACCGCAAAGCCTGACTTTCTGGATTTAGGAGAGAAACCAGGGTGGGCCCATGGTCATGAGCAAGTGGGTAGGAGCTGAATAGGGTTATTGTGATCTTTATCTAGGGGGATTATTCCAGGCAGTGTGGGCTTGGCAGGGCAACGCAGTTGTTTGGCCGTGGTTGGTTTTGCAGACGGATAGGTATGGCCCCAGGGAACGTGCAGCAGAAACGGGCTGGGGAAAATTATTTTACAGTAGCTTCATCCTTGCAAAACATTCACTTCCCAGAAAAGAAAAAAAATGAGTGATTTTCGTTTGCAGAAGTCTGCCACGGCTAGGACTGTGCATCGTCTGAAATGCAAAGCCTGGCACAAACGTCACACATTTTACTGGAAACTGGGAACTTGTTTCCTTTTTATTGGAAGTAAATCGGAAGGGAGAAGGATGGTGAGTGCACGGGGCCAGCATAATAACTGAACAGAAGCATTTTCAGGAGCACTTCAGGACCCCGCAGAGGAGACCAAAGGTCCAACAGCACCCCGAGATCGCACCGAATTTTACAGCGTCGCCGATGACGGTAACTCTCTGCACCCAGGGAATTCGTCCCCGGCTGTGAGACGGCACTGAGGCCTGGGGGGAGCTGAGCCCCTCCTGCTCCCCTGGACCTGCTGCTGAGGGAGAGGCAGCGCTGGGCCCGCCCTGGGGCGGCGGTGGGAAATGATCAAGACGTGGAGTCCCATCCCCGGTTGCTGCCGGGCAGAGGGACCCCGCCGGGACGGAAGAAAAGCAAACCCGGAGATAAACCCCGGCTCGGCGCTGTTGGCACATCCGAGAGGCACCCACCGCCTTCGCCTCCGGGAAACGGCATCTCCCCGCCGCTTCCCC